TCTGATACACGATCTACGATCAAGATTAAAGTACCAGAGTAACGTCAAACAATATTTTATCTCACACAATTAAAAGAACAGTAGAAATCAATTAGAGAAAAGGAAACCACATATTCAATAATTTGAGCGGCTAACTATCTACACCCAGTGACCAATCACCTTTATTCTCACCACTAGACTGCATAATCATGTTTAGTAAGAGCATTAGACTGGTTTCTAAACTTGTCTTGAACTTGATAACGAGAAACCTACCGATCAAAAGCTCTTAAAATGCAAGAACACGTAGAATGTTGCCGTATTTCTCATCCTAAAGGCTACATTTCACAAAGCTGTTAGAGAAAGGTCCTACATTTTTTCATGGCATGACAATGCCTACAACTAGTGTTCTAATAAATTACCACAAGTTGAAGGTTAACAGTAGCTGGATTGTTAACCACTTGCTTATACTATATTTTAGATTCTGATGCATGAATTTTTCTTCTACAAAAGATCTGAAATCCATTTTTCTCACTGAGTATAATACAAACTGAGACAAAAACATTCAGCCTTTACTAAACACTGAAAAATCAAGCAATCAACTAGTTCACATAGAAGATAATACAACAAACACAATTTAAAAGTTACTTAGTATTTTCAACCCACCTTGTTCCCTATTAAATATATCTATGGTGTAAGCAAGAAATACAATGAAATGTTACAAAAACCATTATACTGAATACATATTTTCAACTAATGGTTGTATTGTATCAGCCAAAATTCATGTTGATTGTGTATTTGAGTGCATGTATATGAGAGAGAGAGAGAGAGAAAAAAAACAATGAACTTTTATTTCAAACCATTAGATTACAATCTCATTATCAAGAAAAGTTTAAGAACTAGATAAACAAACAAACAAACAAAAAAAACGAAGCCAAAAATAAACAAACAAAAATAACAAGAACATTGGCTACAAGAGATTGAGAATTACGAGAATAATAAAGCTAATTGAAGTATATATATATATGTGTGTGTATTATGATAACGTCGTCGTCATCATGATCATGATCATCATCACCATCATATTGAAGCAAGAAATAAACCTAAATATTATTTTATAATACATTCTCATACAGACTACTACTATTTAATTGTTAGAATTAAAAAGTTGAGGAAAACAAACAGAGAAAAAAGAGAGATAGAAAAATGCAACTAAAGAAGAAAAGTTAGAAATTTTGTTTTCTTAATTGTAGTATACAAAAAGAAACACCAATTAAATAAACTCAATGTCATTGCACCATATTGTTTACGACATACAAGAAATTGGTTCAAAGAGATATGTGCACACACACATATATATATATATATAGATAGATATATGCACAATCTAAAAATATTGCCTAAATCAACAAAACAAAAGAAACACATAGAATGATCAATGAGAAAAATCAACTATGCATGGATATCACTAATTAATATCACTTATCTATTAGATCTGATTTACGGAAGCAAAAGCATACCATACGACATACAATCAGTACACGCAAAATTACTAATTCATACATCAAAATAGTATCTGTAATAACAATAGTAGTAGTAGTAGTAGAACAACACAGTCAGAATGAATATTACACAATCCAACTGATTTATGACATCGTAAATGAAGAAGGAAAAGATGGAAAGTAAGAGAGAGTGTGCTTTTCACTCAGTCAAAAAAATGCCATATTTTAACAACTTGCTAAGATGTTCCCTCTGCATACATACAAATGATAAGCATAATAAACTGGTAAGAAAAAAAAGTGTTATATTATCATCAAACGACCACATCAATGAGTGGATGTGTGATGCATGTAACTTTTGAATGAATGGAACAGGGAAAACGTCATACAAAAACACTATGATTAAGTAACAAATCAGCAGAGAAAAATCGCAAACATACAATGAAATGAAATCAATGTATTAATACTTTTTACAAGGTGTAATTTTTGACTAACGACTGATTGATTTCGAATCAAAATCGTAGGTTTGAATGAAATGGAAGAATAGTTAAAACAAAAGATGATCTGTTACACTCTTTTCAAACAATAATAATATTAATAAATACATATTGCGTAATAAGAACTGTAATAGATCAATCGTTAAACGGGGAATTGATTAATGCGCCCATGCATATATATATATATATATATATATATATATATATATATATATATATATATATCAGACAATTTTGCCAACAAAATGCAAGTCACAAAAAAGAAAAGTAGAAGAATGATGAACATAAAAAGCGTCTAAAATCTATTTGTTCATTTACTTTTCCAAAGAAAGAAGAAAAAAAAGGGGAAGAATTGTTCATCTTAATATTATAAGAAACAAAATTCAATCAAAAAGAGAAACGATCATTTTATGAACTAATTAAACAGAATAACAATAGCACAATAGAATATAGATTAGATATTTCTATTACAGTTAGTGGGAACAATGGACAGGAGTTTCCTTCTTTTGTTCATTTCTGGAAGTACAATGGCGACGAACAAGAAGAAGAAGAGTTCATCTTAAAGAAAGCGAGAGGGAACGTATGGGAACAGATCAATATACAAAAGAAATGTGCAAGTGGAGAAACTAAATGAAAACACATTTTAAAGTAAGAACCAGTTCATAGGAGAACAGAAATATAAACTATCAAAGAAAAAAAAATAATAATAAAACTAGTCGCATATTATCATTATTAGTAGTAGTAAATTTGATGATTAGAAAAAGGAGATTTCTATTTCGACACGTACACAGAAAAGGCATGCGGTAAATCATTATGATAAACGATAATTCTTGTTTGTATCATAGACTAGATTCATGTATATATTTAACAAAACAAAAAAGAAGAAACAAATAAGCGAACACAATGAAAGCGGACGATACAAGGAAAGAACGAAAAACTACCACTTATTTCTCCTTTTAAACAAATGAACACCATTATTATTATCATCATCACATAAACAAACAAATTAGCAAACCAAGTAATTAAAAAAGAGTCCTGTTCAATAACAAGACAACAAAGAAGAGCTATAATAAAAGATCATTTGAAAATAAGGAAGAAGAATTTCGATGAAATACATATCATCACGACTAAACCACCTCCGACACACAGACACACACACATAGCTACGTCGTCTAAATATTACTTAGTAAGCACGAAGGGTTAGGGGTCGGACGACGGATGCAGTTTATTGGGTAGAAACACTAGACACACATCCATACATACATACACTAAGTGGATGAGATGGAAGAAATAAACAGCACCAAAATAATGTGAATGTGGAATGAGGCAAAAAGAGCAATAATGAGGAAGCGAAGAAAGAAGGAAAGAAAAACCAATTTAAAAAATACATGGATCGATAAGAATAAGTGGTAGTATTGCATCATTTTTTTAATGAACGGTGGGCATAATTGACAGCAGTTACTGAGAGATTAAAGTGTATATGCATGTGTTAGCGTCTCTCATATACATATATATGATAACGGAACGAACAAGAAAAAAGGCAAACTGGCGGCGGCGCGGAATCCAAAAACTGATATAAGGGCATAGATAGGGAGAGTTCGTTGCGTAAAATTAACTGGTAGTTGTAGATACATTGTGTTAGGACCGTCGACAATACATAAACTGATTGGCTGAGAATAATTTTAATTTTAAGCGTAGATGGAAGGCTAAACATAATATAAAAAAATGAAATGTAGACAACTTAATACTTATGAAGATATTATGAGTTAACCACTATAAAAACTCTGATTAAAAAGAATTGATTTTGAAGTTCTCACCTGGTGAACCTTGATGATTCGTAAATAGTGGCTTATAATCTTAATTTGAAACTGCTTAAATGATAACAATTATGACATACCACTCTATTAAATTAAACCAAGACATAAGCGACGGTCTTTCATTGTCTTCCGCTGGTAACTGCCTTACACCCGATACAATTAGCTACACTGGTCATGGCATCTCACTAGAACTTCGGAAATTCCCCTTCATTGCTGATCGCTAGTGAGCACATATTAATCGCCAGTAGGGAGCTGAGAGGATTGTTGATTTCCATCAAAATCACGAACAGATCAAAGTTAGACTACCTTTGAAAACATGAAAGCACCGGATGAGATTTAGTGAATTCAGACGTCCAACTCTCTATCATTAAATAGCAGTTTCAAACACCGTTCCGTCAACCTTGATTTGAGGATCGGATAGCAGTTTTATCATTGTAAGCCCTAACAGTTAGTGTGTGTCTCATACCCAAGTACCTGATGAATGAATTCTATCATAGATGTTAGTCGTTCGCAGGATCAGTGAAATTCATTTTGTTAATTTCAACTCATCTTACAAATTCATAATTCACAGCCTTGCCACGTTCTATGTTGATGATAAATTAGCAAGCTCGTGAGAAATAATCATAAGAATGTCAACGAGTCAAAAGAAAGTTAACAACTTTCATTGTAGAGTTAAATAAGATTAAGAGTAATAGAAAATCCTCAACAGAAAATCTACAAACTGATTCCTCCATGTGTACAAATATATTCTCTTAGATATCTTCAATCTATAAGATTATTGTAGTATACTTCCATTGAAATCATAGACCGATCAATGTTAGACCACAATTGAAAACTTAAGAGCAGTGGACGGCCATCCCTTTCTGGTAGGAATCGAACTCGTGAACTTCGACTTCACATAAGAACCCTTAACCTTCAGACCACTGAGCTGACACGTACGGTGTTAATGCCTAACTTCAATCAATCCACGATATTATGCGACCATCTTTCACTGTCTACGGTGGGTAACTGCTTCGAACACGACAAAAATGAGCTCTATTGTATACTTACTATGCTAAACAATAAATTTCTTCCATCAAATTATATATGACATCATTTTAAAAAAAGGTTAAGCAATCCAATGCAGCATTATACTAACATAATATAAACACAATTAGAAATAATTAATCATTACCATTGACAAAATGATGCATACTTCATGATATAATTCATCAAACAAGATTATATTCTTTTAAATTCAACTGAAGAATTGTATCTTTTACAGCAGCAAAAACAAAACGTATATTCTCTGTATCAGTAGCACATGTGAAATGAGAATAGATTATTTTCTCAGGATCAGGATTTAATTCAACAAACATTTTTAAAATAAAATCACGGGCAGCTTCTGCATCGCGTTGAGGACCTTAAAGAAAACGACAAATGGAATTACATACATATAATATTTTCTAATAATACTACTACTACTTCTACTGACACTGTTATAACTTCTACTACTCTGTGACTTCTCTTAAAGTAATGTTATCTCGATATTCTAATGTAATATAACAACTTAAGATTATGCATATACGTGTCAGGTTCTACGTTCTGCTGTATATGACTGACTACCTGATAGATATATGTTACTGATAATACTGGTACGAACCAGTGAATTTTTAACGTTTATCATTTTACTGATCTTGAAATAATGATTGTTAACATATAAAATGAAGGACAATAGTTGTTCATCTATAATAATTACGCACTGAAATGACAGTCACTGAGGTTATATACTATGAAATTGTCTGTTGGACAGTTATGATTACAGGAACCTTATTATTAATTTAATGCATTTAGTTGTTATTTATTTAGCACATAAATATTGGTACGAAGGAGTATCAAAATATATATAAACCACACAAAGTAATGATTATTCAATTTGTGTGAAAACTGGGACACTCCCCGGCCGCTCAAACCTAAGCAATCGGTTTTCTCGGAAGGCTATTCCTTAGGCCTTTAATCAAGAAGTTTAACGCACAAGACAGGAGACCAACGTTTAAGATGCAGATTCGAGGTAGCCAGTAACCAACAATGGGTTCACATGCCATTTGTTTCCTTAGGCCCATTGATACAAACTATTTCAACTTCCTAGAAGACAACAAATAATAATGTAACTGAGAAATCATAAAATGACAATTTTATGGTTCATAAGCCCAGGTATAATAAGCTCTCCTATCAAATATGTTCAAAATGATAGTATATATATATAACGGAGTGCATACTGGATTTCGGATCAAGATTACTCTGTTATTGGTCCGGGTCACTCATAATAGCCTAGACATCCCATTGGTCAAGTTAGATAAGCAGTCAATAGAAAAGCTTGCATGCTCGAATTCGAGAAGTCTGAATCTGTATTTTGATATGTGGGTTTTATTTACTGAGTTATCTATGGAGAAATTGAAGGTTAGTGAGCGCTACAACAACAATTAACAAAAATTCCTTGTTTATAAATACACTAGAAGTGAAAATTATTTAACTATCCAATAAAATCAACTCAAATCGTAGCAATAGCATACAACTGTTACTGATATTTAGATATTTAAACATATCTAAAACTGAAGAACATCTGTAACCCAAAACAAATGTCAACACAGTCCTACTGTATGGGGCATAAACTTGGAGAACTACAAAACCCATCATCTAGAAGATACAAGTGTTTATCAACAGTTATCTACGCAAAATACTTCGGATCCGTTGGCCAGACACTATCAGTAACAACCTACTGTGGGAAAGAACAAACCATATCCAAGCGGAGGAAGAAATCAGGAAGAAGTGCTAGAAGTGGATAGGACACTTATTGAGGAAAGCACCCAACTGCGTCACAAGGCAAGCTCTCACTTGGAATCCTCCAGATCAAAGAACACATTATGCCGAGAAATGGAGACAAATATGAGAAAAATGAACAAGATTGGAGAGAACTAGAAAGGAAGGCCTACAACTATATATGATCCAAATTACGAATATGACATGTATTGTAAAAACAACTGTCTAATATCCTATACATTCTATTATTATGATTGTATTACATATTGAGTTTCTTTTTTTTCTTCTCAAGTTAACAGTTAATGTATGAACAAAATCTTCTACTTTGTATGTATTTGTAAAATTGACTGAGATCTTAGTTTAATGAATAGATAGATATTTTGAACTAATGATTTTTTTTTTAATAAATGAAGATCATTTAAATTCATAATTTATGTAACTAACTAATATGTAAACTTACTACTGAAGAAAATAATCTAAATATAAGTACACATTTTATCATATTATCAGTATAAATTACCAAACCCTCTTATTCAATAAACTTGACCTAAAGATGTATGTATTTGTTCCCTTTTTTTTCTTTCTAACAGCAGAAAATGAAATTCACCCTTCTAAACTTTCTTTTTTTTAATTACATGACCTTTTGTTCGTTTATATAGTTTTTTTGTATTATTTTTTGTCAATTTATGTAAATTGATGTGAAAGATGATGATGATGACGACGAAGAAGAAGAAGAAAACATTACCAATACAAGTTAACCGTACAAATTTGAAAGTAGAGTTTTATTTGAGTGAATGAGAAAACAAGTGTACAACTTTGCATTGAAAAACATTAATGTTAAGGAAATTGTAGCTTTGACAACGAAAAAGACAACAACAAATAACAAGAATGGTGTGAAAATAAGTTGTGTTTGAATTACTTAACCATGTAACAATTTTAAACAAGTGTGAATCCCAAATTCACCAGCTCAATGACACAATAACGATTGTGTTTTAGGTGTGATTTCTTATTTGATATGCTGTGTGGTAAGGTATTTTAAGTGCACTATTGTATTCGTTTTGAGTTTGTGAATTAAGAACAATAAACTAATTTACTTCCTATTTGAGTCTTCTGACTGACTACTACTTGGGTTACAAGGAGTTTGATGACCAGATAAGTGTGTTAAAGCCTTGAATATAGTTGATTGGTCGATGTGTATACTTGAGAAATAGATCACCAGTCTTATTGGCGATATAACACGTAATACAGATCAGTCAGTAACAACGTAGAACTTCGTACGTACGTACGTACATCGGTTCGAGTTGCGACACCACATTAGAACAGAGATGAAGTTGTCGATTCAAATTCCATAGTGGTAGAGGTGGTAAGAGTATAAGCAGTAATCCGAAAGACTAGGGTTTGAAGATGTTATTCAAAAAGTATAATCCAGTGAAACAAATTTGGAAAGAGAAAAAAGTGATTTGAAGAATTCAGAAGATTAGAATTCGGGAAAACATAAAGAGTTGATGCACCTGCACCATTGCAAACGATTTTGAGTTATGTCATTCAAAGTCCCGAACCACCGGTTGCTATCATCTCACGGATCCCAACCAGGTAGTCTACATCTACCAACATGGCTCAGTCTACTTGTCAGTGCCTTCGTAGATTTGTGTCATGTTTTAGTCTGGCCGCCCCTAGCTTTCTTCCAACATACTTCTACATCATAAAACATCGCATATCAGGGAAGTAGGTGGTTGGGCATACGTAACACGTGTCCCAGCCACCTCAACTGATGAAGTTTCACTACGTCATCAATTGATTTGCCATCCTTACCTAGTACCCGTTTCCTAACAACTGTGTTACTTACTCGATGGTCCCATGATATACGAGCAATGTTTCGAAGACACCTATGATCAAACACTAGTAACCTATGAATATCCTCTATTCTTACAAGCCATGTTTCACAACCATAAAGTAGAACGGAACGAACTGTTGCTCAGTAAACACGTCCTTCGGTTGGTAGACGAGTATCTCGCCTACGCCATAAATGACGCAAGTTGGTAAAAACTGGTCGAGTCTTCTGTAACCGTGCTGAGATTTTTTCACACACCAGACCACAAGGGCTGATGAGACTCCCAAGATAAGTGAAGAGGTCGACACGCTCAACTACTTTACTCCCTATCATTAGTTCGGGTGTCGATGCAACCCAATCCTGAAGCAACATTTTGCATTTCGAGAATGGGGAGAATCTCATGCCGAACATGCTTGAATTGTTGCTTAGAGTGGTTAGAAGACTCTGTATTTTGTCAGTGTCTCCATCAAATAGAACTATGTCACTGGCATATTCTAGGTCAAAAAGTGAATCTCCCGGTAGAAGTCCAACCCCTGGAAATTTTGATAAGGAAAGTATCATTTCTAAAAGCACCTAAACGACAAAGTCAAACAAGAATAGAAAGAGTGGACAGCCCTGAACAACACCACTTGAGGTAATCAATTCTGATGACAGTTCGCCATAAGCTCTCACTCGACCAGTTGTGTTCGAGTAGAGAGCCTGAATAAGGTTAATGTACTTCTTTGGTACTACTTTCAGTGACAAACACTGCCATAGAACCTTACGATCAACAGAGTCGAATGCCGCCTTAAGGTCGAGAAATACTACCATTGTGAGGCGTCTAAACGTGTGTCTGTGTTCTAGGACCTGACGCAATGTGAATATCTGGTCTATACAACCACGTCCAGGTCGAAAACCAGCCTGGTTTTCTCTAGTCTGCTCTTCACGAGCTTTAGTTAGGCGTCGAATAATTATTGAAGCTAATATTTTAGACACTATATTAGTCAAACTGATTCCCATGTGATTGTCACAAGAGGACTGTTGTCCTTTCTTATAGACTGGCACAATCAGTGATTGAGACCAGCCAGATGGAATTACGTCCAGTTCCCAAATTCAACCTAAGACCTCAGTTAATCTCACTGCTAATACTGGACCACCATCTTTAAAAATCTCAGGAGTAAACCTGTCAGGGCCTGCTGCTCTCCCTCGCTTCAGGTTTCCTATGGCTTTTTCAACTTCGTGAAGAGACGGAGGACCTACAGTAACTTGCTATTCAGGTTGACTGGAGATCGTGGGAAACCGAAGTGTGGCTGAAGGCCAGTTGAACTGATCCCGAAAGTGTTCTACCCATCGATCCAATCTCCTAGATTGAGAATGTATAATATGTCCATCTTTTTCTGAGCTTGTTTCGCTAACACTCGGGTTCCTAATACCGGTTTCCTTAACAAGTCTGAACAGTTGTCTGCTATTACCCATTGCTGCTGCCTTTTCCATCTCTCTTGCTTTCGCTACCCACCACTGTTCACGATCACTGCGTAAGCTTCTTGCCAGCTTGCGCTAAAGCTGACTCCGCTCTTCATTATGTTCAAAGCCAGATGGAATGGGTTTTCGAGCATCTATTAATGCGGTAGATGCTGCTGAGATCCAGTGTTTCTCCCTAACCTTGTGGTTTACCGTACTACCAGATATCACTGCTGCTTCTACAGCTTTTCGTATATCATTCCATGCTGCCTCGGGGTGGGCATCACATACATGGCTGCCTAAATGTTTTCCTAGTTGTTCCTGAAATATACTCTTAGCTTGATTATCATTAAGTAGTATCTCAAGCCATAAAAATCACCATTTTCAAAACATAACAGTTATAGTTAAAATACTTAGATCTTATACAAAGATGACAGCTTTGATTTGGTCAAACGATAAGTAGCTGGTATTGGCTACCGAAAACTACTGGAATTGGTATATATTTATTTAGCCACTTGAATCACTCCTAATGTTTTATCAATCGCTTTTTCGCACAGAACCTACTTCATATAACGAACAAGTCAACAATCAGCACCCTTTTTGTACGTTGAAGATAGTTACTTCGATTTTGAATTGACAATTTATGTTAAACATGGGTAAATACCAAAATAAACTGTAATTAACTTTTTTTAAGAAAAACAAGGAAATCATAATACTTACCATCGTATTCAGGAAAATAATCAACAAGGTGAGAATAAAGTACTTTCTCTTCTAGAAGATCTTTCTTGTTCAGGAATAAAATAACAGATGACTCTTGAAACCATGGATAAGTAATGATTGTTCTGAAGAGCGCTTTACTTTCTTCCATACGATTCTATAAAATATAGTACAGAATTATGCGAAAATTATTTCATTTTATCTGAACGAATTTAAGCAATACTTTTTTGAAAAACACAAATCCATGGATGTGCAAAGTAGTGTACATTGTATGAAATTCAATTATACCATCCAATTTACTAGTAGTACCTGAGACTGTAACACATTTGAATTTGTTGTGACTCAAATAGTCACATATTTCACAGTACTTAATTGCAGAAATTAGCAACAACATATTTTGTGTATATTTGGTCTGTTAGTTTAAAGTAAACTAAATTCAATAAAGTGTAGAATGACACATAACACTAACTTCTGATCAATCCCATAAGATAGACAGTTTGATAAACACTTTCCACTTCCGTAGATTACAGAAATAACTATCTAACTGTGTGGTTAGACATTTCAAGTATATTATTGTCTAAGTTTTGAATCATGATTGAATGGAATACAATAGAGAACTGATTTGCTTTATATTTTTATCTTATGATTGGGCACTAGGTTAGAAGCAGCTCGAGGACCAGTAAGCCTTCAGATATCACCTGTTCTTCATTGTTTGGTATGTTAATTATTACTTAGAAGGTCACCGGTCCTACCGGTGGACATATGTGAACTAATGGATAATCGAACTAGGGTGTCACACAACTACTGTCCAGTCATCATTACGGCATGATCACATTAAATGAATTACGAAAGGACACTACGTACATATGTATAAACTTCCTGATTGCTATAACCCTTTTAACAGGAAATTTACAAAACAACCTAAAATAATGCTAATAAACTTAAGTAATTTGAAATTTATACAGTACACTAATAATAATTTGTAGAAAATGTTACACACCTCATTATCAGATTCCACCAAAACTTGATCATATTCAGATAATGCAACTAGAAACATAATTGAAGTTACACTTTCAAAACAATGTATCCACTTTCGACGTTCAGAACGTTGTCCACCAACATCAACCATCCTAATAAAATAAAAGTGAGATTCACAAAGAATGAGTATTATGATATCAAGTCATTAGAATATAAACATATCACTAACATCAGATAAATTCAATGATAACCTGACTAGAACTAAAAATACATTTCAGATAATTAATTGGTTATATATCGATTACAACAATCAGAATTTATAATCTGAGTGATTTTTACCAAACATAAATCATAGTAAAAAAGTATTGAAAATTATGTAACGAAAATGTGTTGAAAGTTGACCTGACATTCAATTCTAACGGGTAATGATTACTTTCATTCTATGTTGTAAATTGGAGATTGCAAATTCTAAACATTTAGGTACTGAAATTCTGTTAACCAACACCAAAGTCAGAATTTTCAATACAAATTTCAACAGTCCTACTGTATGGGGCAAAAACTTGGAGAACTACAAAACCCATCATCTAGAAGATACAAGTGTTTATTAACAGTTATCTACGCAAAATACTTCGGATCCGCTGGCCAGACACTATCAGTAACAACCTACTGTGGGAGAGAACAAACCATATCCAAGCGGAAGAAGGAATCAGGAAGAAGTGGATAGGACACATATTGAGGAAAGCACCCAACTGCGTCACAAGGCAATCTCTCACTTGGGATCCTCAAGACCAAAGAACACATTATGCCGAGAAATGGAGACAGATATGAGAAGAATGAACAAAATTGGAGAGAACTAGAAAGGAAGGCCCATGACATAGTAGGTTGGAGAATGCTTGTCGGCGGCCTATTTTCCATTGGGGGTCAAAAGCATAAGTAAACTTAAAAAAAGTAATTCTGCCGTCAAAACCAAATGAAACCATTCTTTCAAGTTGGATTAAAATAAGTGACTGATCTTCCTCTTAGATTACTGTTAACCAGGCTCAAACTTTAATAAATCATTCGTGCCTGGTCACTCTCTGTCCTCCCTTAAACTATGAGATTAAAATCACTTCATATCTTTCTTTCTACGAACTAATTCTTTCTTCCTGTACTATGTCCTTGTATGCAATCTTTCTTTTATATATAACCACCAGTGAATTAACTACTTCGATGAATTCGGTATTCATCTTGTTGTGCTAAAGCGGTATGGCAACTTGGACTGATGCATATATATGCCTGATCCTACGTTGTAGCTGACTGACTTTAACAGTCAACATAACAGGTTGATATTCACCAAGAAAAAAAATCAATCATTTCAGCATAATGATACAGATATCAATTCATGATCGACAAAACACCTTAACTAAGGTGGAATTATCTAGCACAGTTAAATATTTCATGTACTACTCAATATGTAACAACATATAAATAATACTAAATAACTAAATGACATTTCGAATGAACAATAGTTACTGAGCATTATTCTCTATTCCCGTTTTACTGGTTTATGATAGACTTATTTACTTTCTATTGATTAATATCATTAATATTCTTTCAATCATATTTCCTTCTAATTGTTCATGATGTAATTTTTTGTAACACTGAAAATGTTAGCTTGTAATTTATACTAAATTTTATCAAATAATATAGAAACATATATGTATAATTAGAAATGAAGGAGTTAATAAAATTGTTTGAATTAATCTTAACTCAAATGTGTTTATTCAAATAATGCTGACATATCCAATACGACACAAATAGAACAAAAAATATAACACTGTAACAAATAAGAAAAATAACTACGCGAAAATTTGAAAAGATACAGCTGCAACACAATTACATTATGAAATCTTCCTCGACTTTGAAAATAGTTTATCAGTAGGACGTAGTAGTGTATATGGTCGATTCATTAAATCGAATTGTGTGTTTACGGTCGAAATTATGACTTTTTGTTTAGATCTCTAAGTAACAGTATTGAATGGTAGCAACTGGTGCCAGGATGCATTCATTCGTTTAGTAATTTTGTCTCCTTTGAAATTTACTGATAAGATGCCTTCGATTCACTATGTCAGCCTTACCTACCATCTATGAGATGAAAATATAACTATTGCTAATTCAAATATCAGGACTTTATCAACTAAACTAATGAATCTCATTTCACAAAAAAGTATCAGTGGATGTTGAAATTCGTAATTCTTCACGGCTGATTTGCAAGATGGAAATGTTATTTTCTTGGAAATGAAAGTCATAACTCCCGATACTTGTTTTGTTTGGTTGTTTTATAGCATAAATCTCATTTGTTTTTAGCTTGTAAAACAAAGTATTGCATTAAAATGTCAGTCATTTGGAAATAGTTGAGTTGGTAAGGGTAAAATGTTTGAAAGACTTACCGAAATATGATAGAATCCAAATCAAACAAGTACTCTACAATGCCTGTAGTAGGAACTCGAACTCGTAAAATATCTTGAAGCGTCGGTAAATAATCTGATTGTGAAATTCGGTCAAGATTATCTAAATAGCTGTGTATTAACAGAAAAATAGGATACAATTAATATAATAAATAAAATGAATTATTTACTAATGATTTTCAGTTACATTTACATTTCATGAAACAATGAGACAATCACATGGTGTGTGCTACTTATGTAGGCTGATATAAGTAGTATGTAGCCGCAATCGGAAGCGGAATGTCTGGCAGCAGAAGATTGAATTGAAGAGAACAGAAAGGTAATCAGAGAGCAATCAAAATAAAAACAGAATTGGAAAAATAATAGAGTATGTGATTAACATCGCAAGGATATGCAAACGATGTATCTAATGTATGATTTTTATATTTTACTAAGCCATTGTGTAATTTTGCATTAAACAATAATTTCGTTTTCTCCTCCTGAATCCTCGTTCACTACGGCCACACGATGTGTCATAAGCTAACGAAACAAAGACCTAATATTTAGTTTAATTCTTTGCTATTACATTAACTTTTAGCTGTAACTAACTTGAACGATGAATATAAAACTTAATATCCTCTGTGTTAACTGCTTGATAATCAAGAGAATTGTGTATAACACTAGACAAGCAACTATTATGTTGAAGCATATTTACAATACACTGAAGCAAGGAAAAATAATATATTAGGATAAGAGTAAATTAGTACGAGAGAAACGTTTACGACAACAGCAGAAATGAAAGATGCTAAAAGCGGAGGCATTTATTCAACAACAAAAAACAGTTCCACAATCGGAGTTGGAGAAAGCCCTCTCTTTTTAGGAATTCCCTTAAACAGGAGTGAGCTTACAGCACCTTCCGAGGGAACGTTACGCATTTCATGTAATTCACAGACCACACCAGCATGATGAATAGCTAAAGAGTCTAAATAATCGTAATAGCAAAGACAGAGAGGAAACTAAACATTAGGAATATGGTTCGAGAAGACGAAATGAAAATTTATGTATGGAAAAATAATGAAACTCAAGACCTCGTGGAATAAGAGCAGTAAATTAAAACTGAGAGATGTAGTTTGGAGTGGTGTTTTAAGAAGACCAAGAATTGACCTTCGGAAAATCGGATCAGTAACAATGGTAGACATAAGGTAAAGGTTAATAGTATGGATAGAAACGATATTAGGAAACGAAGGGATTCAGTCGTACATCAAGTACTGTTAAAGATATGAAGGTGGTCGAACCAATCCAGTTCCCCACCTCGTAGCAAAATACTTCTCAAAGGACTTGAAAAGGAAACTGCGTTAGAATCAGCCCTGACAATAAGAGAGCATGATTGCAGAGCACAAAGGAAAACTACTTCAAACCTGCCACATATGACTTTTTTGTAAGTTGCTTTGAATATGTTAGCTTTGTAGTTTTCAGACCTTACCGCCGACAATATAAATCCATCGGATAGTGGCAAGTGTGCCAAACTTAGAGACAACCTTCTGAATCCCCTTCCTTCTGTTGGGAGATGTTAGTATCGCCATAGATCCTGATTGTCCGAAAAAATTGTATGCTGCAGTTACATTCCAGTACAGTTAGAAGTTCGAAATCCCCATCGAACTTTGAGTTCACTGTTTCTAATCCTATTATTTTCCAACCGACCTAAGTGGCACAGCAGGGTTCAAAGAAACAAGTGTTTCAGTAAATATAGTAGTAGTATGTACATCAACATCTCAACTCAAATATGATATCCATCAAATTATACATGGAACTAAGAGACTCGATCACAAAAGGTACCGGGTAAAATAAACATACGTGTGTAGCCGACAATGAACAAGAAAAGTATAACAATAAGCAATGTCATAACTTGAGAATCCACCTACTATTTTGCTGAATCTGTTAGTTGATACTCACGACGACGATCATAGCATTCTTTAATACCTGGATCATCCCACAATGATTTGATAGCTACAACGTGCTGTGGTTCCATAGTGGTAACGGTCTCATAGTCGATCTCTTTTATTGCTTCCCCATATGCCTAAAAAACAGAAGTTGAGAAAGTTTCCATTTAGCACACTTTGTAACATTCAAATGAGAAAATAAACACGGTTAGAATAAGCATTTTTCTCAATTAATTAGTTTAATGGTCAGCTGCATTTAACGCGCTTACTCTAACATTATTTGGTAAAATAATCATGTTTTCAAGAGCTAAAATTTCGTTATAACAAAAGCTTGACAAATCGTTTAGACAATTTTAGAAAGTAAACTTGAAGTCAGAAATTTTCAGAAATGTTGAGTAACTAATAGAACTGTGTATCAAAAGCCGAGATTTTGTATCCCAAACAAATTTGTACTTCAGTTTTGAGATGTTCCTTAAAACTTTAGTGAAGTTTTTTCGAGTTAAGCGATTTAATTGTGACGCCTTTATTGTCCTTCTGGGCATCATTAGCACAAGCTCTAGAAGTGAGTTACTCAAACTTCTCTATGCATAACTGAGCTTGTTATGTCGATCTTCGTCTTGATTAGATGTTGTTGACCCTTATTCTATCATTTTCAGGATATTTATTTTGATTGCTATCTTCGTTGACCTAGTTCTTAACCAAACAGTTACTCTTGTTTTGTTCAAAAGCACAATTAAAGCTTCATGATTTGACCACGTAGTTCATAGAACGAAATCTTACTAAAACCACTCACTTAAACTACAAATCTCAACCATTCCTCAGAATGTGTATACACCGGGGAATCGACAACAGCTGCATATATTGATGCAATCTTTAATTATCAGAGTAGGGAAGGATACTTATGAAACTACCAGTTTAGAAACTTAACTGGAATGGCCAAAGTATCATCACTTCTAACAAATATTTCTCTGCTATTGGCATGGACAAAAGTAGGACAGCGATTCAGGCGGGCACAATTCCCAAAAAGACAGGAACGAAATATGGATATTTTTGCTACCAACTTAAAATGATTGAAACATAAGGTATACGAGACGTAACTTATATGGAATCATATAGGATCTGATGAATGTATACAGAGAAAACCTTACGACTAATATTTATCGACCGTATTAAGGAGGTCCGGTGAAGTAATTGGGACATGTTCCCAAATGATTAATCAGTCATGAAGTGAATAGATTTTTGTAATTCAAGAACTTTTTGCAGACTTTTTATAACACTACTTTTAATTTTGCGAATGACGATCATGACATATTACGTAACAGAAGTATAACTTAAAAAGACTAACCTTGTTTGCTGGGTTTTCATAAGGGATTTTTAGACTTTCCACAGCACGAACCATCGTAAACATAGCCATGTATATGTTTTGATAAACAATTTTGATGAAGGTTCTTCGCTCATCGTCCGAATAACCTGCTCCATGTATGATGCGCATTTGCTTGATGAAGGTACTTTTGCCCGACTCACCGGTACCTAGTAAAAGCAGAAAAATTCGAAAAGTAGGAAATCATGTGTTGTAAAAAGATTTTACTACTACATAAGTCACATTTTTCAAACGTTAGTGATACAACTTCACTGTTCAGACTTCAGTAAGTGGAGAAAAGTTTAACTTAGTAACAATAATTAGATTAATTAAATTAATAATGACTAGAAAAATCAATATGAAGTTCGAGTTGTTACTATGCAATCTCTACTAGAGTGAACCAGGAGAAGACCCCAAATGCCCTGGTACGGCCGAGAGTGGGGAGAGTCCGCTCTGCCCCTCGAAATGCTCTCACATGAACACGCGCATACAGCCTCTGCCAGAAAAGTCCTACTCACTGACTTCTCGTGGCACCGGCGTTGTTTACGAAAGTGAGAGGACGAAAAGCGAACGTTCGGCGCTTTAACTGGGTTGGCGGATATGAAGGATCCATTTAGGGGAGTTGGAAAACCCTCATTCCAGACCAATGGTGTACATGGGCTCCAGTGTCTTGAAGGAACAAATGGCGTATGAACCAATCGTCGGTCACCGACTACCATGGGACTGAATCTCCTAACGATGCTCCACTGCTTTGTGGATCAGACCTTCAGATCAAAGGCTCGGGGAGTGACCCTCTAAGAAAACCACCTACTTCGGTTTGGGAACCCGGGCAGTATCACGGCGCTCACACATATCAAATGAGATCTGTGTAGCGCATATGTACTTGGTGCCTTCTTGTACCAATATGTGTTAAAATAAATAAATAATAAAATGCACTGAGAATTCAAATACTTATTCAAAGTCACTAGTGATTGTTGTTTCTATTGAAAACTTGGAACAATGCATATTTGAGTAAGGATATATGATGATTATGACCGATACTGATGTCGTACAAAGCACCAACTTCCTACTATGCGATTCATGAGAATATAATTACAAGATGTTAAATGTATTATGATACAACGATTACGACGCACAGGACAGTAGAACTAACTAAACTTAGAACTTGACTACGAAATATCGTACTTTGGTAGTTTTTATTTTATTTCAACACATAGATAATGGTACAAAGAGGCACCAAATACATATGCGCCACACAAATCTCATTCGATATGTGTGATGGCTGTGATACAGCCCGGGTGCCCAAACCGAAGTAGGTGGTTTTCTTAGGGGGCCACACCCCGAGCCTTCAGCCTGAAGGTCTGATCCACAAGGCAGTGGAGCATCGTAAGGAAATGCAGTCCCATGGAAGCCGGTGACCAACAATTGGTTCATTCGCCATTTGTTCCCGCAGGATACTGGAGCCCATGTGCACCATTGGTTTGGAATCCGGTTAAAGCGCCGGACATTCGCTTTTCGTCCTCTCATTTTCGTAAACAACACCCCCGCCACGAGAAGGCAGTGAGTAGGACTTCCCTGGCAGAGGCTATATACGCGTGGCCGTTTGAGTATTTCGAGAGGGAGCGCGGACTCTCCCCACTCTCGGCCGTACCAGGGCATTTGGTAGTACAGGCAACAAAATTATGGTGTCCAAAGTAATTTTGTTGCACAAATCCAATAATTATTACAGAAATGGAAACTTTCAAGTGACCAAAACATTTGGTTTGAGTGACTTGCCTGAAAAAATAAGCATAAACGTAGGATATGATTAAAAGTGAGTCAACAGTTATTACACTCTCCATTTGCGCGGTGAAGAAACAACCCAAACGAAGTGAAAATACTATCAACAATTGTAAAAAGTCTACGCCAAAACAAACAAATGAATACACAAAGGACGGAATAATATTACATACAAGGTTTAGAGGAAAGCGAAGATTGAATGCATCTTAGTGAGACTAATTAAGATCAAACCACAAAGTCTGCATTCTCCTGCTTTGCCCATATCATTAGTTTACCTCTGCGGACCACATTTCAGTCTGATCATCAGTACATTTTTCCATCCATTTCTATGATAATCAGTATGTAACGCCACAGCTAGTGACTTAGTATGTGCGATTACTATTATGACGAGGAAGCATGAAGGTGGGTATGGTAGAATGTTAGCGAAATATATATGAAGCGTACATTTTACTGGGCCATATTGCTTACGAGAGGTTAAATGCACACTGCTGACAGGATATACAACCAAATTCCAAAGGATCTTAAGGCAAATTTAGTTTATGATTAACTGCAAGTTTTAAAAATTATAGCAGTCTGCATGGGGTGTTCAGAATCACGCAGAAATACATTTTCAATGTTATCTAAACAACCCTTCAATTTTGTAGTATAATGAACTTTAATTAAGTAACTTAGTGGGTTATAAAGGGAGATTTGTTGCATATCAGATGAAATAAAGTCGAAACGTAATAAGTTTATTCGAACGAGCAAAATAGTAGTGGTCCTTAACAAACTTGGCAGAGTACCCAATTACAACTTCTAGTTGTGATCATTTCCAACATAGAGAAATTAATATTTTACTTAAATTAATGCTATACTAGGATAAAATAGCTTTCCAGTACTTCAGAGTTTTTAATGGTCGTCTAGCTGATATCATTTTATGATTTAAACAATAAAAATCCTATGGTTTCAGCAAACCCCTAAGAGCTCATTTTAGATAAAGTACCAGAACAAAACATTGCTTTTGCATTTCCTAGGGGTGTTTGTACTTCTTTGACATAGACTTATTTATAAACCGGCATTCCACTCGATTTTCTCGATGTTAAGTTAGTATCTCTTCTAGGTCTTTGTAACATTTAAGGCTGTTCACTCACCTAATAAATGCCCTAGACTAAGCATAGCCACAGTAAACCCACCAGTTTCATATGGACTGATTGAATGAATTGACGGCTGTAACAAATGATATCAGTGTGCTTATTTGGTTCATCCCGGCTGCTTATAGATGGTGCAAGCCACGATCATGCTGGTTGTACAAAACGCTTTTCTACATTTCCTGACACTAGAAGCTACAGAGCCGCTGGACCCTGCTTGAAAACATCGTGCGAACAGATGAGGTAACTAACGAGAGCTATTAAATGCTAGGAAAAACAATTAGGAATTGGCTTTTTCAGTAATCCACCGCTCGTACATAGCATGGATTAAGGAAAGGATTATTTTGCACGACAAAATTGACACGGAAAAGTAACGCAAAGTCTATATAACTTTTGATTGGCCCAATTAAAAGGGGAGTAGACAAGCATTCAAGCTTATTATCCGAGAATTAACATACTACCAGCTATCTGTCCTCAAGACAAATCAAGTTTTATGTGATTGGACTTTTTAACCAAAAAGCCAGGAAAATAGTATGAACAATTTCAAGCAAAACATACCAAGGAGGAGAAGTTTAAGCTCTCGACGTGCATCTTTTTTGTCGCGCTTCAGTTGTTTCTCAATTTCTTTGTTGATGCGGTTCTGTTCTTTATATTCTTCACTCCGGCAGCAAAACATTGGGATTCTATTCGGATATCGTGTTGTGATGGCGAAGCGTTTGTTGTGAGTATTTTTCCAAGTGTAAATCTAGGCACTGAGATGAAAACTGAGAGAGCAAAACGCCCATTATTGTCCACAACTGTTTGCAAGCGCCATCTTACTGTTTGTAAAGGCCACTAAACACTAACAGCTCAAACAAAAATAAAACGAAACGGACAATTTGTTGTTGCTAAAATAGCTTAAACCGATAATTTTTAGTTTGTTTGTTACACGTTAATAAAAAAATTCTAAGAGCGCTACAATATTCAATAACCTCATGATGGTGAGATAACAGCCTCTGACAAAGCATACTGTAGTGAGTTTATTCACTAACGCAATATGTATATGATTGATAGAAGCTTATGAGTGTTAGAAAATTGTTTATTCTTGCTTTAAAAAGTCATACGATCACTAAAACTCAGGCAACGATACATTGATGTCTCTTACCTACAAACAGCAAGTTATTAAACATGAACCCACCGTGAAACCTGGTAAATTAACAACAGTTCGTGACGATTCTCTCATTATCATGAACCTCGTTGATAATTCCGACCTTCCTCTCAGTCTGCAGGACAAAAACGACAGGATGCTCTGGGGTGAATTGAACAAGACGCTCGAACTTCCTAGAATAGAGCCTTCGATGGTCACCCGGCTCTCTAGAGGAAAGGACTCTGAGCATCTAAATCACCCAAAGTTTCTCCGAGTAACACTTAAGAATGCTACCAATGTAGAGGACGTCTTACTAGCATGTCACTTGCTGAAATCAGATGGCAACGTAAGAATATTGCCCGACATACCTTTCTCTGAGCACAATATCATACGAAACATCCCTAAAGAATCTCGCGAGTTTTTCCGCGGAAGAAACATAATTGTGCAAAGTATACCGGAAAATGCAGACCCTACTCAATCAAATTCTGACATTAGGGAATGGAAATTCATCAAACAGTCCTTGAGGCTCAAACACATACTGACTCAGCATGTGACGAGACTAGCCAAGAAGGACTGTGATCTTAGACCCCGTCTAATGAAGATAACCTTCCCATCTTCCCACATGGCGGCTGCAGTTCTGGAAGTATTTCGTGTCAACAAACGTCGATTCCTACCTGGAATCCACATGCACCCGGACAGGCCATATGAAGCCAGGACCAAGCACAAAGGCAAGTTGGAGCTGATCATTCCACTTGTGGACTGTCTATATGATAAAAAACGTGTAAAGGACAGGGCCTACCACCTCGGTAAACCTCACATAGGTGGGCTACCTGTCCATTCACATAAAGCTCATACAGAAAAACAGGATGAAGCTCACGCGTTCCAAATTGAAAGCATAAACTGCTTATATATGAACGCCTCGAGTCTACCAAACAAACTGGATGAATTACGTGAACTTAGCAACGCTAACAAAGCCCACCTGATAGGAATATCTGAAACCTTGATATCTTCTCACTTCTCAGATCAAGAGTTAGCATTACCTGGGATGACTTTGTTCCACAACGACAGAATAACAGGAAACGGGAGCGGAGTAGCCATATACATATGCTCCTGCTTGGAGGTGCACCAAGTTCACAACCTCGAGTTTAACAATCTCGAGGAATCCATATGGTGCTCTGTAAGATTGTCTAGGACTTCGAGGTGTCTAGTCGGTGTCATTTACAGGAAGTCAACTGCCGACATCGAGTAGGATAGTCGTATACTGGAAGGACTATCCCGCTCTACCCCTCTCGGTTTCACACACATCCTGATTCTAGGGGACTTTAATCTCCCTAGAGTCAACTTCGCGGAACACACGTACACTGGAGGCGACAACTCAGTTGAAGCTCTGTTCTTCAACCTCATCGATGACTTGGGCTTATATGAAAATGTGAGGTCGGCAACTCGTTGGAGAAACAGTCAGACACCATCGCGGTTAGACTGTGTATTCACAAACGAAGAATTCCTAGTTGACAACCTCTCAATCCTGGATCCTCTTGGAAAGAGTGATCATGCCGTCATAGCCTTCAGTTTTGTCATCAAAACTAAGCTAAGGTATCCCAACAATAATTTGCGTTGGAATTTTAAACGGCTGAATGTGCCAGCTCTACATGACTATCTACAACAGGTGGTTTGGGATGTTCACCCCCAACTCGATGTGGACGGTCATTGGGACTTCTTATTGAACACGCTCTTATGTGCTACAAACCATTCAGTTCCTCAAACGGTTCCCAAAAGCTGTAAGCCACCTACAGTAATCAAGAACCGTACCCTTCGCCTGCTATGCCGTAAAGGCACTGTTGGGCGGAATACAAACGAACTAATAACGACGGAGCGTATACGCAATATAAACATATCAGGAACATATGCACGAAGGCTATAAGAGAAGACAGGCTTCAGTAACAAACAAAACTTATGGACAAATTTGCCTCTAACCCTAGAAACCTATTCCGTTATGCAGCCTCTTTTCGTCAAGCCAAAACAGGAGTTTTCCAACTGCTAGGTCTTAACGGCCCGACCAACAACGATGGTGACGCCGCTAACCTTCTGGCGGCACATTACTCTCAAACACTTCAGCCGGATGACATCAACTTTATTGACGACAGTTTCATCTGCACTTCCACAGGGCTTTCCGAAGTGGACCTAAGCGCTGACTTGATGTTCCGGAAATTGCAGCACTTAAGACTAGATACTTCTCCTGGCCCGGATATGGTTCATTCTGCCATACTGAGGGAGGCAGCCTCAATCCTGGCAACGCCGCTTAGCGTGATGTTTTCACACTTGCTAAGCCGAAGCAAATTACCGGAAAATGGGGAGTTGGCTCACATCACATCAATTTTCAAAGGGGGTCGACGCAATGAACCTTCTAGTTATCGGCCGGTGGCTCTTCTGTCATTACCTTCAAAACTCATGGAGTCCCTGATATGCGATGGTTTAAACGACTATCTACTGTCCTTAAATTTCTTCTCACCCCATCAGCATGGTTTCAGGAAGGGTTACTCTTATATAACCAACCTGCTGACTGCGGTGGACAGATGGACAAGCATCCTCGATCGCAAGGGAAAGGTTGATATCATTTACCTTGATTACTCAAAAGCTTTTGATCAAGTTAACCACTTGTGTCTTATCAATAAGCTCAAAAGAGTAGGTATCAAGCCACCTCTAATCGATTGGCTTACTTCATACCTAGAAAATCGACACTTTAAGGTTAGGGTTAATTTCACTTTATCTCAGGCTATGGAATGTTCTAGTGGGGTCCACCAGGGCTCAGTATTAGGTCCTCTTATCTTCTTGATCTACATAAACGATCTTCCTCAACAGGTAACGTCAGACTTATTACTTTTTGCCGACGACGTGAAACTTTGGAGAGAGATACGCAACCAAGACAATACACAGGCACTTCAGGAGGATCTGACTTGACTTCAAAGTTGGGCAGACGATAACGGACTTACCTTTAACACTTCAAAGTGTAAAGTAGTTCATCTACGACATGTCGCGAACTAAAGTTACAACTTAGGAAACTCCTCTCTAATAGTATCCCAAGTCGAAAAAGATTTAGGAGTCCTGGTGCCCCATGATTTAAAGTCTTACGCTAACTGTGACAAAAATGCCTTCCGAGCAAACTTTGCACTGGTAACATTGAAGCGCATTTTTGGCCAGTTTGACGGAAGAACTTTCCATACAATCTTCAATAGTTTTATCCGTCCCCATTTAAAGTACGGAAACATAGTACTCCCCCCCTCACTCCAAATGGACAAGGTCACTTTGGAGCGTATCCAACGGCGAGCCACGAAATCAGTTCGAGGACTCAAATCTAAGCCATACGACGAACGCCTCCATTCACTAGACCTTTACCCATTAGAGTATAGGTGTCTTAGAGGTGAGTTATTAATGGCTGATAGTATTCTTAACACTTCTGGACATCCTCTTAAACACCTACATAAGCTTAGTTCGAATAATAACCTAAGGAGTAACGGCCAGAAACTGGAAACTCAACATAGCAAGACGGAATGTAGACACAACTTCTACTCCTTAAGAGTTGTCAAAAGCTGGAATTCGCTGCCGGCCGAGCTAGTCCAAGCGACTTCTCAGGAGTCCTTCAAGAGGCAACTTGACCTATTCTTAAGGACCAAGGATAGTATCACACTATGATTTACCAATTTCTTTTCCTCTTTTATTGTTAACATACCTAGGTTCCTGCCTGGAGGATTTGGTGATCCCCTGCTACTAGACACAGAAGCTTGTTAAGCGAAAGCTTCTTCTATTCCGTCCACAACCATTTGAACCATTTGAACTTTAAAGAAACCAAGGTCTCATTATTAACAACAAACACAAACTGGTCTCCCTGGGCACAAACGCTTTTGTCCATTTGGTCTTTTCGTGATGAAAATTGAATCTCAAAGCGACAATGTGGGATTTACGTTTCGAAAAGAAAAGCACCTTAAACTAACTCGCGTCACGATTCTCAATTAAAACGCTTAATTCATCATAAAATGTTGAAATAGAATACTTTTATGTAGGCAAACACAAATACGTAAATGGGTTGAAACATCCGAAGCAACGCTGATTGTTTTCGACGCGCTAACGACTCATTAAACAGTTTATGAGCTAAGTCATGACGATTTCTCAACACCATCATATGTCATTTTTGGGACTTGATAATCATGTAATATGATTGATAAAGTTGGTGGAACTATGGACACAAACTCAGCCGGTAAATTGATCTACAGAATCATCACATAGTGTTATTTTCTGGTGTTTATCTTTAACTAACATAGATGATTTCGGCATGTTTTTCTATCATTTGCTCATTTGTTAAACAGCTTAGAACATTCTCAGTCTATCTGGAGGTCTGGAAGCATAACCGTTCGTGCAAATAATCAGTTCCATACGGAATAACACCCTCATGAGAAGGTCAGCATCGATGGCAGAGTCCAGACTGAAAGTCAACAAATATTTTAATCGATTCCTATCTAATACATTTAATTTAAATCGTTGTGCTTGTAAATCTA